TTTTTTTTTTTTTTTTTTTTTTTTTGGACAAAATATCGATCTAGGTTCATGTATATAATAAGTGCTTTTATTTAGGTTCATGTATAATTTCTTCAGACCGACAGTAGTATTTTTATGAGAAACAACCATTTTCATATTAGTTGAAGACTTAAGGTATACGAATTACTCAAATGGATCATAATTACAAATTTACATACACAAAAGTTTTGACTATTAATATATTTAAGTTCTTATAGGTAGTGGAGATGTGTATTTATTTAGGTTCTTGTGTAATTTCTCCAAACCGACTAAGGTCTATTGTATTTTTCTTAAGAAACCTGCAAACCAAAGATATACAAACTCATTATGTAAAACGTGGTTATAAATTTCGAAATTGCCGACAAAAAAATAGGAATTGGAAGTCTTTCTCAGAATCGGAGAGGTCTTTAAGATGTTTGAAAAGAAGAAAACAGTACTGGATCAATCAGACAATTCGAATCTTGAATCTTTCTCAGTTTTTTTCTCAATACAAATAAGAAGCAGTGGACCCTGTCACAAACAAAGTAGTCTGCTACTTCATCATAATACAAAACATGAATAGTGTCGTGATAATGATGATGAAGAAGCATCTTGACAGGTATATTCTGTTAAAGCCCTACACAACTTGAAAACGCAAGTGTTCAATGACTACTCTTATTATTAAACTTCTTCTCATCTTTCTCTGTGAAGGGATTATAATGTTTGAAGTACATAAACCACTCTCTCAAAAGCTTAAATGGCAAAAAACATAAAGTGAGACCAAAACAAAGTCTTGGCCGGCGGTGTGTAAAGTTACAACTCTTTTAAACATCAGTTGTCAATATACAAAACATCGTCTTTCGATAAGTTCATTTTCCCATTCTTCCTCCTCCCTCCTCTCCTTTGAGCTCCATCAGATTCTCCTCTCTGTTAAAACATTAACTTAGTCGTTGAGAAACAAGTGAAAGAAACGCAAGACACGGATGAAAGAAAGAGGACAAACCTTCCTCAAGACAAAAGAGAGGTATAGATATGCAGCTTCCCATTCATCAGCTGATAATGTGCCTGACAAAAAAAAAACAAGTTGGTCGAAAGAGTTTAGGTTTCAATTGCATTCGGGTTAAAATCCAAAAAAAAAAAAGAAGACTTACTCTGATCTTGGTTACCATCACCTAAAGCACCAAGCCTTCTCATGAGATCTACAAACTCTGGTTTCTTGATATACTCATGGACAAACTCGTGTGAGTTCTTCACAAACACCAACTCTAAATCATACTGTTCAAAAGTGTTCATGGGACAATGTCACGCTAATACAAAAAGAAAGACCAGTTTTTTTAAAACTAAGCCTATGAAACATCAACGAGAGGAGGAAAATGATTACCTCTTCGGCTAAAGACTTGAAGACGTTAAAGGGCACAATCCATTCAGGACAATCAACAGCATCCTACCATTAAAAAAAATTCCATATGTTACATCTAGAATGTGTAACCGTGGTAGAGTACTAAGTGAATAACTAAGGTTGAAGAAAAACTTAATTACCTCAAGGTGAAATACGTATTCAATACCAAAGGGGCTGCTAGGTTTGAACTTCTGAATACAACAAGAATCATAATCAGTATAGGAAAAGAGGAGTCTGTCTCCTTTTTGGTACTGAAGTAACGAAACAAGTATCACCTTTTGGGAATGCTCTTCACCAAAACGAATCCAGTATACACTATTACCAATCTCCAAACCTTCAGCTGCGTATTCAGGCAACACAAAGAATCCAATTTAGTTTTGCCAAAACCACGAAACAAGTGAAAGAGAACTCACACGGAATATATAAGAAACCACAATTCAATGCTTACAGGATCAAATTCTAAAGCAAAGAAAAGGAGAAATAAGAACCTTCACGGAGTTTTTTGATAATAACATTGGCATCAGGCATTGTTCCTATAAAGACGCCTCCAGGACGAAGTAGAGCTGAGACATTTGCTAAAGCTCGTCGTGCACGTGCCTCAGTTGTCCATGAGTAATGCATAGCAAACTACAATTTAAACAATGAGTTGGCAAAAATCACAATATTTTAACTACACCACCTTTAACCTCATTTTACCTAACGTTACAAAAAAAAAAAACAAACTTCAATATCAGTCAGAATAACTAGTAGACCAGTGCAACTAAATATGTTCTCTGAAGTGAAACTAATACTTAATCTTGAGGAAACAAGTATAATTGAAACAAACAAAGGAACCTGGCAACTGCAGATATCAAAAGGGGCATCCTCTTCAAGAATCTTGTCTAGTTCTACCTGAAATCATCGCAACAAACTATTACATCTGCATCTGATATAATATCATGCCAAGAACTTGTGTCTTAAACGAGATTCCTAAACAACTCGAGGAGATTTTCCACACTATAGTATACCTCAAAACAATCCCCACATAATAAACGGGATGGAAAGCTGAACTTCTTACGACGTTGGTGATGGTCTGCGTCACCATTATAACGCGTTCGACAATCTTCAATCTGTACTGATAAAAAAACATATACATTTAAAGAGATCAAGAAAAAAACACAAACAAAATAACATATAGTCAGCGGTCACTTACCGACCCTTCAGCTATATCGATTCCAACATAGTAACCAATCCTTGCCTTGTCCCACTTGATCAAATCACCACCCTGGTAGATGTTAATGCAAATAAATTGAAATTACTCTTAAGAAATATAACCACTGACATGAACACAAAAAAGATTGTTTTAAGAACCTTCCCACAGGCAAGGTCTAGAACAGCATCGTCAGGACGAGCATATAGCTGGATCAACACACTTTTAATCTGTTTTTTTTTTTTTTTTTTGCAAGAACAACGATAATCAATATCTTTTAAACACAACAAGTCTCCTGGATGAGAGAAGATGTTGTTGATTAACCAACCCAATTGTTAAGTTTCTTCAGATGAATGATGGGACTAGCTTCTCTCTCTTCCAAAGTTTGGTTTGTTCTTCGACTGTAATGATCAGCTACTTTCCGTGCAAAGTTCTTTGTGGAATCATCTTCCAGAAACTGTGAATCACCTGATGATCTCAAACCAAAAACGAATCTCAACTATTGGCTTAAGCAACAAAAACAACAAAACACAATCCACAAATAAAGTCATCTCTTCCTACATAGTCACACTCCATAAGCAATAGAACCACAAGACAGCAAAACACGATCCATAAGACAAAGTCATCCCATACATAGAGATACACTCCATAAGCAGCAAAAATCAAACAAGACAGCAAACACAACCTACAAACAAAGTCATTCCTTACATAGTTACACTCTATGAGCACTAAAATCACAAGAACTGAAACAAGACAGCAAACACACAACCCACAAACAAAGTCATCTCTTACATAGTTACACTCCAGAAGCAGTAAAATCACAGAAATTGAAACACATCAGCAAAACACAAGTCATACACTCTATCAAAACAGAGGAATGAAGAAGCTTCATAGACACAAACTATATAAAGGGAAAAACTTTTTTTTCCCAACAAGCAAAGAAAACAGCTTTCAGGGCAAAAGGAAGGAAATTTAGATAAAAGAAACAGTAAAACTCAAATCGAATCAATCAATCAACAGAAAAGAAAAAGAAAAAGAAAAACCGAGATTACGAAAGTTATTCTTGAATAAGAGGAGAAGTGGGGACCTTCAGGGTTTGATTTGAATCTGGAAGAAGAAGGAGGAGTAGAGCTTGAAGGAGATTGGGAGTATCCTCTTTTCATAATAAGACAATCTCTAAGGACCAAAATTGGTTTATAAGAGAATAATCTCTGCTTGTTTGTATTTCTTCGCTCTGTTCGTGAGAGGAAATTCGACTCTGTTTACTTGCGGCTGCGCCTTGTTTCACGGCGCTCTTCTCTTTCTAATTTCTGAATCTGACGGCCAAACAAAAAATAAGTTAAAATGTTTTTACTACGATTGCAATGAGAATCGAACTCGCAGTCTCTGGTTTCGTAGCCGAGCGCCATATCCAATTGGGCCATGAAACTTGTTGACTATTCTTCGACGAATATAATATTTATTAGAATAATGTAATTTTATGTTTTTAGCGTAAATTTTGAATTGTTGATCTGTTTGCTGTAAAAATATTTATTATAGTTTTGTAGATCACAATTTTTTTTTTTTTAATTAACCAAGAGTGTTTAGCAGATTGAGATATAATCGACTAATCTTAATTTATTTTTTTAATCTCATGGAACCCTATCCATCCATGACACTAGAAGAGAATCGATCTATCTGCTCTGGACTAACATATATACTATTCATTCAGTGGAAATCACTAGATCACCACAACGTGGTTATTAATCATTATTTTTTTCTGAAAATAAAACTTTTTCTATACTCACTTTTTAATTTTTTAAAAATTATTGGCTATAGATTTTTTAAGGAAATAAAAGTCTGATTGATTGACATAAAATATCTACATTGTACAACCAATTAGCCTCTACATTTTAATATTTAAGAAATAAAATATCAGTGACACAATTTTGATAGTAAAAGCAATTCCAGTGCGAGGTTTTAGTAGTGGCCAAAAGTTCTTGTAATTTCAAATGAAAAAAATAAATTAAGGCTTAGAGATCTAGAAGATTGAATAGAAAAATGCAGATTTAGTGGATCTAATGATACAGAACCAAATCAATGCATCCAACAGAAACTATATGTTGAATGGTGAAACTATAAAAATCAATCCAAAATTAAAATTTTATTGTTTTTATTTATTAAAGAATTAAAATTGTTTTGTTTTTGTACTCAAAATTTATTATTTCATAAGATTTAGTTATATTGAATTGGAAAATGAAAATCTATAATTTTTTTATTTCATCTAACTGGAGAAAGTTAGATTGAATTAAAAAAAATTATACAGTATTTTTCATTATCTAATGTGAATTAGAAAATAAAATTAAAGAATTATATACTTTTATCAATTAGTTTAAGTATGTATATAGATATCAATTAAATTTGTTATATGTATCTATATCGATCTCTAATTTAGGAAAAGATTAGATATTATTAATAATAGTACATATAGTCCAGATATTATAAATTTTTGAACATACATCACTAGAATTGATATACCATGAAAATTTTATGAGAACTTTTGGAGTCATTAATCTATTTATAGGTTCAATCATTTTTTAAACAAAAATCAAAAATTGATATCTATAAAATTAAAATAGAAGTCATGACTTCTTTCATGTGTGATTTTTTTTTTAATTTGGACAATCATTAGAAATTACATAACTTAATCATAATATATTTTAATATCTTTATTTTATTTGAAATACAAATAATAACAAAATCTTCTTAAAATCTTTTAGAATCTTCTTAAAATAGATTTTCAAAATTAGTTGATAATCATAAATATATACTTAGAAATTAAAATTTAATTTTCATTTCTAAACGAAAATTAAAACTATTTACAATATTTTCTATTTTAGTGATTTTAAAGTTTTAAATAGATTAATTAAAAAATAAAATTTATTAATATTTTACAAGATTTGTTAGTATGAGATATTAAATTCTAAAACTATTCAAAAAACAGTATTCCAAAAAAATAAAATTTGATGTTTTAATAGTATCTCAAAAAAAAACTTTTATCTATCATGTTGGTCCAATTTAATTTACTTTCATATATAAAAATAAAAAAAAATATGTAAAATACTATTGTTATATGATAATGTTGTATAAATATATTTTTTTTACAAAATACAAATTTATAAAATTATATAGTAATAATATTACTAGCCACATAAATATTATTATAACATCTAATTTTATTTATTTATTAATAAATTTTATTAATTAAACTAAAACATTGTAATATAAAAATAAAACTCGCATGGCCTTGCGGGTCAAGATCTAGTACTTTATTATGTTTGTAAAATAGTGAAATTTTTATATAATAAAATAGATTTTTTCCCATAGCAGGAAAAATACACATGGCAGCTCTTAGTTCTTCACCCTCTTTTGTTGTGTTAGGATGTATGTGAAACTAATTAGAACAATTCCAATGCTAAGAACTCATTAAAAACTCTTATGACTAATTTAATAGTTAATTGTATGATTTGAAAGTTTAGAACTTTTGTTAGTTGAAATAATTTTTTGATGGTCCAATGGAAGAACCTCTAAAAGGTTCCTTATTATTTTTTATTTTTTTGAATATACACACAACACACAGAAACAATATAGGAAAATCTATTGACATTTTGTTCATTAATCTTTCAATGTCTTTTCATAGGCTATGAATGAATCAGATTTGTTAGAGAGTTAGTATTGACCTGTATCAGAGCGAAGACAAGGATAATAAGGAGGGCTCCAAAGAGGAATGGTGCAAGGAAAGATAAGTCATGGCCTCTCCTTACTGCCCGGAAAGTGTATATAGTTAGCCCTACGACCATTGTAGCTGTGAGAATCGCAGCCTCCAGAACAATCCTCCCTGTTTTTTTCTCTCAGAAGAATTAGATTGTAATACCAGTCATAGTTCGTCTTGTTCTTCATCTCTAAAGTTGCTAACAGCATCATGTATTTTTGTGAGATTAAAGTGCAAGTAAATAAAAAATCTGGATCTAAAAATAAACAAATCTGTAACTCCGACCATCCCCAGCTAATGGGCCACCCACATGTGGGAACCGAAATTCACACCGTCGAATTCCGTAAATAAATGAACTTAGAGAAAACCCTAATTTCTCAGAGGTCCCGGCTATCTGCTTAACCACGCGCAAGCAATCAAAATACGATAAAGATGATAAAATAAAACGAGAATCGAGAAGAGAGCAAATAGGTTTCTTATTCCGATTTTGCGTAAGAATGGTACAACGAGGTAAGCCTTGCGTACAAGAGCTGACGGCGAGTTTCCTAGTTTTAGTAACCTAAGAATAGAACCCTAGTTGAGACGCAGCTCGATAACAAAAACAGAAAGTTGCCTAAATGCTAAGTTTTTTTCTGTGTGATGAGAGTTCTGAAAATCGTCATTTTCTCTTGTCCTCGACCTTCTATTTATATACTCCTTCGCTAGGGGGTTGGTCTTTCCTTTTCCGCTCCGGTTCGCGCTTATCGGAAATCTTCCATTTTTTTTTATCTTTCCATTTTTCTTCGAAAAACTTCTATTATATCTTCAAACTTGACATTTTCCCACTTCTGCGAGTAACGGGTAAACCGTCCTATTATCTTTGGCTGGATCTTGTCCAAAGTCGTGAGTAGACTTTTATTGCGTTTTAGGTCTTTCCGAGCCATTATGCGATTTAGCCGTTTTACGACTTTAAATGAGATTGTTTCCTGATACAATGGCGTTTTTATAAAACATCCCAGTTAATCGTAAAGTTTGACAATGTTCGGTGTTTCGTTTAATCGTTGCCGTTTTGTACGATTTACTCGAGGTTTTTCGAGAAAATGAGTCTTTAGCGGTTTTTATAAAATATCTCGAGTTAATCGTATAGTTTGGCAATGTTCGGTGTTTTGTTTAACCGTTGCCATTTTTTACGATTTACTCGAGGTTTTACGAGAAAACCAGTTTTTCGGTTTTTGTCGTAAAACTCTAACGGTAAGACGGATCGCGACGAAACGAGAGATGTTATGATCACGATTCAGAGTACGATCAAGTCGAGGAGCATGGGTGGTTTAGTTCAGCTCGCTAACAGGCGAGCTAGTCGAGCACAGCCAGCTCGCCTATTGGCGAGCTGGACGAGACGGTTCAGCTCGCCAACATGCAAGCTGGTCAAGGCTGGCCAGCTCGCTTGTTGGCGAGCTGGACTGCATGGTTCAGCTCGCCTATAGGCGAGCTGGTCAGGGATGGCCAGCTCGCCTGTTTGCGAGCTGGACTGGTTGGTTCAGCTCGCCAACAGGCGAGTTGGTCAAGAACGGCCAGCTCGCCTGTTGGCGAGCTGGTCGGTCGTTTGGTTTCGATCGTTTCTCGACCCCAGATCTGTTCGGAGAAATTAAAGAGAGATAATCGTAGTCGTTGATCTCGAGGTTATTTTTTCGATCTTAATAACAACTTTACCGTTTTAGAGAGTTTAGACGTTACGGCCGTGTTATGCTAATTTAGCCGTTTGGACTGCGGGGTGTTTTAGTCAGTTTTCTGATGATTTCCAAGATGACGATTGTTAAGTTTACGGAATTCCTTTGTTTGGGAAATCTTTAGATTTCTTTCGAATCTTTTTTGTATTTCTTAAAAACCTATTCTTAGCTTTCTAGAAAATTTTGGTCGTTAATGCTGTCGTAACCGATTTTGACCCTAACACCACACCTACTCACTCGGCCCGTGGGCCCATCCCGTTCCAACAGCTGGTCTGTTAGTTTTCCAAAGCTCTTGAGTCATGTTTACTAACCCTGCAATCACCACATGTCCTTTCCCTGTGCTTTTGGCCTCACTTACACGGTATCGCAAATCACTTCCCGATAGGTCATCCATCATTTGACTACTTCAGCTCAAGCATGCTTAACTCTAGAGTCATCTCTGGATGTGCTCCCGAAAAGGTAAGTGCACTTTGGTGACATATGTAGCCAAATAAATTCTCTTAAGCCTTTCTACATATCACAACTCGGGATGTTACAGTTCACCCCCTCTCAAAGAACGCAACGTCCTCGTTGCGCCCCACGACAGGTCTCAAGACGCCTCTCAGGTCAGAACTAAGATGGCTAACCAGCTCTGATACCACTTGTAACGCCCCGACCGCCCACAACTAATGGGCCACCCACGTCCGCTCACTCGGCCCGTGGGCCCCAGTTCCAACGGCTGGTACATTAATTTTCCAAGTCTCTGAAGTCATGTTTACTGACCCTACAATCACCACATGAACTTTCCATGTGCTTTGGCCTCACTTACATGGTATCGCAAGTCACTTCTCGATAGATCACCCATCCTTTGACTATTCTAGCTCA